ACTAATCACATGCTCCATCACTTCTCATCAATAAAGATATTTAAGACTTTCAATTCAAAAACCTAGAAGTGACATAAAGGCAAAAGAGGATGCCTTGTCTTCTCATCAATTAAAATGTTGGAAAGTTTGAAGTAGAGATTAAGAAGCAGGGAACCAGAGATAGTACCCTTGAAACTGGACCCCTGAAGTATAAAGGCACAAAGACTGCGCCACTATGAGCTGCCTTTCCCCATGGAAGACTCACACGTTGTGTTAGCACAGGACTACGGAGGACCTGAAAACATGTGCTTGTAGGAAGAATTGGAAAATCATGTATGAGGAGCCAAAGACAACAATAACTTGTTCTAATTAAGGATCAACCGGCTGTAGAGCATTATGTGTTGTTTAATTAGAATAAACCAAGGCTACATAAGTAAGTTCATTGTTTTATTTCTGCACTGAAAGGTGTACAGCATTTTTCACTGCATCCAAATTCTGGAAGGGGGAGGGCCTGATGACCCTGCTTCCTAGGATGAACATTAAGCTTAGTGTCTCCTTCGTCCAGTGAAATTAAATAGTCTCTTACTACCCCAAAACTCTTTTCTGAGCTTTAGGCAAAATGTGAATAATAAAATACTTCTATAACCTACCTTATAAGGTTGTTTTTAAGTGCTTTTTAAGCACTATATAAAAGTGAGTTATTTTCACATCATGAACTTTCCCCTGTAACTTTTCTTTTTTTTTAAGGTCTTTCATGTTAAGCTGACTTTAAAACTGATTACAACTCCTAACAAACTTTCAAACATGATAGTTGGCTTTAGTAAATCCTCCAAGAGTTTGTTTATGGATAATAGCAAGAATCTATTTTTCATCAACTTCACACCTTCCCTTGGAATAAAATTCACACTCCTATCTATAATTTAAGAACAAATACATCTCATTTCTTTGATAAAATAGAAAATGCTTTCATAGTAATTGTTTTCATTTTGATTTTATTGCTTCTTAGTATGAAAACAGCTATAGCATTCTACTGAATGGAATATTTGGAACTAGTTCTTCAAATATGTATGCATTACATTTTAAAGACAAAATATCTATAATACATATCAAATTAATAAAATGTTAATAAAATAGTCTCAACCAAGTATCTACTTGGGAAAAGGTAGGCCTAGTTACTAAAACATCTAAGAAATCAAATCAAAGCATTTAACAACTATTTTGTCTTCATGTCAAAAAGTTGACATGAAGTGGGCTTTTAAAAATTTTATTCTGCTTTGTGTAGCTGCAATTTAGCCCATAATGCTAAAAGTTTAGGAGAAAGTTGTTTTTTTTTAATTATTACCATGTCAACTACTGAGAAATTGGTTCAAGAACAACTAAATATACTGTCATCATCCAATATTTTGATTCACACCTGGTTAATATAACAAATAAATCTAGTAAACAAGATCAGAATCACAGAATTTTTTTTTTTTGGTGAGGCAATTGGGGTTAAGTGACTTGCCCAGAGTCACACAGCTAGTAAGTGTTATGTGTCTGAGGCCAGATTTGAACTCAGGTCCTCCTGACTCCAGGGCCAGTGCTGTATCAACTGTACCACCTAGCTGCCCCTGAGAATCACAGAATTTTAGAGCCAGACCACCTAAACTAATTGTAAAATTAGGAAACCAAGGTCCACAGAAGTTAGTTTAATCAAGCTTGACCTCCTGAAAAGGCTGAAACACTTCTTGCAAAGAGTTACTAGTGCTGCATAAATAACCCTTAATAATTCTCATAGCATGTTAGAAGTGGAAGCAACATTAAAGATCCAGTACTGAGGCTCAGAGTGGTAAAGCCACTTGCTTCAGAGCTAGAACTAGATTGAAATCTTCCTGAGTTCAAATCCTGCCTCAGGCACTTACTAGTTCTGTGACCCTAGGCAAGTGACTTAACCTTGTTTACCTCAGTTCCTCTTCTGTAAAATTAGTTGGAGAAGGAAATGGCAAACCACCACAGTATCTTTGCCAAGAAAATCCTAAATGGAGTCACAAAGAGTCAGACAGGACTGAAACTACTGAACAACATACATTCATGTTTTATATACATATATATATATACACATACATACATACATACAAATATATATATATACACACACACACACATATATATATATTCCTATATAAATACCTAAAATGCACATGTATTCATTTCAGTTCAATAGCACCTCCCAAGTGCAAGGCACTGTGGATACAAAAGCAGTCTCTACCTTTAAGGAGTATGCATTGTTCTGGGGTATACAACATGTAAATACAAAACACGAGGAGTGTGAAGAGGGGGAGAACATGGGGTGGTGGTGGGGTTGGGAGGCAGGGAATCAAGAAAGGCATCCCAAGGTTGGAGTACCTGAGCTAACTGGTATTAGAAACTAAGGATTCTAGGAGGCTGAAATGAGGAGAGAGCGCACTCTAGGGATGGGACAGTCTATGCAAAGGCATAGAGGTGAGAGATGGAATCCAAACTTTAGAGAATAGCAAGTAGGCTGAAGAGTAGGAGAGTAGGAGTAGGAGAGTGAAGGAGTAATGTATATATTCTACATTTCAGCTTCAGAACTGAGAATATAAAGCAAGACCTTGAATCATTGCCTAGTGTGCTCGTATGGAAGCTGATCTCATCCATAGAGGACGACGGTGTAGAGAAAGGTTAAAAAAAAAAACAAAACAAAGACATCATTTAAAAGTCCATAGAGGATGATGGTCTACTGAGAGGGAGGTTAAAAAAAAAAAAAGGCATCACTGGAAAATTCCACTCCTACAACTCTATCATATTGTTGAATATATAATACACATGACAAAGTACCTGTTTGTATGAACTCAATCAGTGATGCTTATATTTCCTTTTCCCAAACTTTCCAGTCATTTCTTCTCTTCATTTCCTTCTCCCCCAAAAATACCCCTTACCCTAATTATGTTAAAAATATTGGTCCATTTATTTAAAGTGATAGAATAGTATGATGCAAAGAGCAATGGATTTGGAGAAAGCCCTAAACAGGCTTAGTAAATGGCACATTTAGTTTGTTGCTCTCTGAGGTTTTGAACCTTTAATGTAATAAAGAATATTCAAGATGCAAGCAATCATACCCCATGTATACCACCCTTTCCATTATACCATGCTGTGCTTCTGCTACAATGAATGGAATTTCTGGCATTAAAGAATTTATAAAAAGCAACATTAAGGTATCTGTCCCTTATAAGCATCCTCCTACCCATTATGGCCTTTTAGTGAATCATAGAGCTAGTGGCTCATTTTAGGCATATGAAAAATGTTTGCTCATGGGCTGCTTGATTGGTCTGGAGACTTATAATTCTGCCTAAGTAGCTGTTGTTCAGTAGTGTCTAACTCTTCCAGGACTTGGCAAAGACTCTGGAGTGGCTTGCCATTTCTTTTTCCAGCTCATTTTACAGATGAGGCAACTGAGGCAAACAGGGTTAAGTAACTTGGTGGATCACACAGCTAGTAAGTGACCGAGGGCACATTTGAACTCAGGTTTTCCTGACTCCTGACTTCTTTGCTCTACCTAGCTGCCCTAATTAGCTGTAACCCTGGGCAATACACTTAACCTTTTTGGACCATGTGCATAAAGCAAAGAAGTTAGATTGGACCAACTCTAAAGTCTCTTCTAAAATCTTATTATTTTGTAATATTTAGATAAGAAATAAAATTTTGTTTATTTTTTAATTCCTGAGAATTTTAGCTAGGCAAATCACTCAACCCTTGTTTGCCTCAGTTTCATTATCTGTAAAATGAGGATAATACCTACCAGAGGATCAAATGAGATAATAATTGTAAAGTGTTTAGCACGGTGCCTAGCACATAATAGGTGCTATATTAATGTTGGCTATTATTTTTTAAATCTTTCATTTTAAGTATGAAAAATCAGGTGGTTTTTTTTTTTTTGGTCATCCTTCCTTTTATATAATATTAAGTGAGGATGCAATTTTAACACTCTACCATTTACCCAAGAAAATTAAATACTAAACATTCAATACGGGTAAAACAAAACAACTCCTGAGAAATCTCTGGATGGCACCTTTCCCTAAACAGCACCTCACCTCAGTGCTTAAAAACTTTTGAAGGGAATTTACCCCTTTAAAAAACCCTCAGCTATGCTGTTCCATCCCTCATGGTTTGTCCAATTTCGAGGAAGAGGCACTCACATCTATACCCCTGGTCACAGCAGGATTATAGATCGAGAGCTGGTAGGGATCTCAAGAGGCCATTTGGTATTGACCCCCTCGTCTCACAGATGATAAAACTAAGACTCAGGGAAGTTAAGTGAATTACCCAAGGTTACAAATGTGACATATATGTGAGGAAGGATTTGAACCCACTTTTGTCCTCTGACACCACAGCACACCACCTTCTGAAGTACTGAGTGGCTCCAGTAATCATCATCCCATTCATCTCCCTTCTGACGGTGCTCAGTGATCTCATACAATCAAACTGGATTGGAACAGCTTTTGCTGTAAATCTGACAAACGATTATTAAGAGCCTACTATACTCAAGGGACTGGGCTCCACGAACCTAACTATGATGTCTATGAAGGAGAAGGACTGATGACTCATGGGGTATGGCAATATGGGAAAAAGAAAAAGGGGGCAGTGGATGACGGGTTTTATACAAAGGTCAAGTGGGAGCCGGGGTTCGTGGACAACAGTGCTGGGGGGGGAGGGGGGAGAGCAAAGGGGGACAGGAAGGTGGGCAACGGGAAGAAGTGCGTCTCGGGGAGGGGTGCGAGGTGGGGAGCGCAGGAGGGTGTATCTGGAAGAAAGAAGTGAACCTGGGGGCGGGTCGCATTTGCAAAGGCAAGGACACAGGAGAGGGAAGTGGGAACGGGGCAAAGGGAAAGAAGCCTTTGGATGGCGGGGGTACGGCCGGGGCATGGGCAGGGCCCGGCAGGTTGGCAGGGGCAGACTGGGAAAGCGGAAGAGGGACGGGCGGGGGCCGGGTCAGCCCGGGAGGTTGGCACGGGCGGACGTACCTGAACCTCTCCTGCCCGGCCGTGTCCCATAGCTGCAGCTTGATCCTCTTGCCGGGCTCGATCTCCAGCAGGCGGGAGAAGAAGTCCACGCCAACCGTGGGGTCGCAGGCTGGGGACAGCATCCCCGGGAAGCGGCCCTGCGTGAAGCGGTGCAGGAGGCAGGACTTGCCCACCGTGGAGTCGCCGATCACGATCAGCCGGAACTGGTAGATCCAGATGGCCTCCATGGCTCACATCCCGCTGGCGCCCGCCCGGCTCTCGAGCTCGGGGACTGGAGGACGCGGCCTCGTGGCCGGGCTGCCCGGGCCGGGGGCGGAAGGTTCCTGGTGGGAACTGTCCCTTCAGCACCGCCTCACTGCTTCGAGGTCGCCTCCTTCCAGCACATTCCCCCGCCTCGGCCACCTGGGTCTCCACCCTGGAGATGTGGAGTGAGGGCCCAGGGCGAGGCGAGGGCGGGGCGGGCGGCTAGGGCGCGGCTAGGACACTCTCTCGGGGCGGGGCGCGACGCAGCAGCCAGAGCGGGAGCCGGAGCCGGAGCCGGAGCCGGAGCTGGAACGGGAGACGCCCCGGGCCACGGTCTGCTCACCTCGCGCCATCCGAGAGACTGGGCATTCCCTTTCGGAAAAAAGAGAAGCGGGAGGGGCCGAGGCGGGGAATGGAGATCAGGAGGAGATTGACAGCAGAGGTAACCAAACAGGACTAGGCAACAGGCAGATCCGAGCCAATGAAAAGTAAGGCTTCTGAGGAGCCGCTCAACCCAGATCACTTTGACAAAGGTTTATTCCCAGCTGTGGTTTGCTAAGCCTAGTGCAGAGAAGGGGAAGCTTACAAAGTTCTGTACCCACGAACTCCTGACCAGAAGACCTGAATTCAAATGCTGCCACAGACACTAGCTGTGTCCTAGACTTCTGTGCCAGTCATTTGTCCTCTCTCAGCCTCAGTTTCCTCAGGGTGCTCTTTGCCTTTATGGAACTTACAGTCATCAGGAATTTAGTTTGGTACATCAACAAAACAAGGAAGAAAAATATTGCCCAAATCACTGAACAAGCATACCCAACAAATTTCTCCAACTCTGGTTTTATTTCCTTCCCTTTTTTCATATCTTCTTGTCCCAATTTCCTTCCTTCTTTCTTATTTAAGGTCTTTCTCATCAGGAACTTACTGAGGTTTTTGGTTCTTTGAAAAAAAAAAGTACTTTGGTGTAGTGGTTAGAGAGCTAACCCTGGAGGCAGTAAGACCCCTGGTTCAAGATTCTCCCTCTGACATACGGAACGGCCAACTTTCTTAAGACAGTAAACAGCAGAACAGATATCAACCTCTAAGAAATTCCCTACTAATGAAATCACTGATTTGGGAAGGAGGAGAAAAAAGTGCTTTCGAATGATGAAAAACAAGGTGTTAGTTGCCTTAAAGTATCCTGCTTCCTGGCCACCATCTACAAACTATAACCCCCAGCACCTCTCCTTCCCGCATTCTACGTCTCCAGTATGTGTAATCTTCCTCGATTAGAAAGAAAATTCCTTGAGGGCTGCCTTGATTTCTTGTATTTGTAGCTGGAATGCCTGGAACTAAGTGCCTAATGAATGCATTTTCTTGATGGCTAGCTACCCAGCAGATGGTAATCCATTCAGTTGATCCATTTCTTAACCTTCTACTCTCTACAAACTTGCCCCAAACTTTTCTTGTCAAAGGCATATACCTTAGTAGGAACACAGCTAATGATAATAATAATAATAATAATAGTTAGGAGGAACAAAGAAGGTTAGACTAAGTTCACAGTACCAGTATCAGAGTTCTAGAGGGGCAAAACATTTACTGTCACTCTTTCTCCCCTTCCCTCTCACCAAGCGCTTCAAATTCCCAATCCAGTAGCCCTGGGGGATAATCCTACTGTGAAAGGGAGGAGAGTCCAGAATCTTATTTAACTGAACCTCTGAAGCCATCTAATTCCTAAGCAAAAAAAATTAAGCATGTTCAAAAATCTTTCACAAGTGGGCACTCTGGCTTCTACTGAAGATCTATAATGATGCAGACCTCAGGACTTAAAAAGACACAGAAGGGGCAGCTAGGTGGCGCAGTGGATAGAGCACCGGCACTGAAGTCAGGAGAACCTGAGTTCAAATGCGACCTCAGACCAAACATTTGACATTCACTAGGTGTGTGACCCTGGGCAAGTCACTTAACCCCAATTGCCGGAAAAAAAAAAAACACACAGATTCCATTTGGGGACAGATTTTAGCGTTAGAAAGTTGCCTGCATGTTAAGTTGAAAACCGCTTCCCTGTAACTTTCACCCATTTTTCCTAGTTTTGCCCTATGAGACCAAGAAGAATAAATCTACATCCTCTTCCAGAGACAGATTTTTGGGTCAAATATCAAATCCTCCTTAAACTATGTTTTCTCCAGGACTTTCAACTGATCCTAACATGGAATGATTTTCTAATCTCCTGGTCATCCTATTTACCCTTCTCTGAGTGTGCTCCAGCTATTCTGAGATCCTTTGTAAAATGTAGTGCCCAGAATTGGATAGATTGCACTAGAAAAGGGCAGAGTACAATGGAATAGTTACCTCCCTTACTCTGCACATGATAATTCTACTAATGCAGCCCATGATCTCATTAGCTTTTTTTTTGGTCTGCTTCATAGCTGTGTTTACTTAGATTGAACTTGCCATCCACTTAAAACTCTGAGGTCTTTTTTCATATGAGCTGATTTCTAGCTATGCCTTCCTTATGCCAACCAATCAATCAATTGAAAAGCATTTATTAAATGCCTTCTATGTGCCAGACATCATACTAGGTACTGGGTACCTAGACAAAATGACAAAAATGAAAATCCTCATCCTCTAGAAACTCCACATTCTATTGGGGGAGACAACATGTACACACACACACACACACACACACACACACACACATATATGTCTGTATACTGTGCACAGACATACTCACATACACATATATAAATATAAGTATATGTATAGGTATTTGGTGTGCAGCTTCCCTAAGGGGAAGGAGAAGGACAAATCAAAATGTTCCCCCAGAATGTGTTCCTACACCTGGCTATATCCCTAGGTATACAAGATGTATACAAAATAAATATGAAGTAATTTTTTTGTGAGGGAGGAAAAAAAGCTGGAGGGGAATGTAGGTCAAGAAAGGCCTCATGTAGAAAATGGTACTTAATCTGAACTTTGAAGGAAAAGTACTTGTGTAGTTGATTTTTTGAACCCATGTACAGGACTCTACATTTCTATCTATTAAATTTTATCTTTCTAGTCTCTTTTTTTTTTAAGGCAATTGAGGTTAAGTGACTTGCCCAGGGTCACACAGCTAGTAAGTATTATGTGTATGAGGCTGGATTTGAACTCAGGTACTCCTGACTCCAGGGCCAGTGTGCTATCCACTGTGCCACCTAGCTGCCCCATCTTTCTAGTCTTAACCCATGACTTGGGCTTGTGGAAATATTTTTTGGATCTTGATGTCTAATATATTATCAGCTACTCCTTCTAGGTTTGTGCCATAAACAAATCTGACAAATTCCAGCTATGCCTTTATCCACATCACTGAATAAATTTGTTGAAAGAATAGGGCCAAGAATAGAGCTCTGGAGCCCTCTTCTACAGTTCTGTCTACAGATTGACATCTAGCAGAGGTAATCTTTAATCCAGATAATCTTCTTTAATCAATACCATTTGTGTCTATTTCCTCAAGCAGCTCCAAATTCACCTAACTGAACAACCTTTTTGATCACATCTGGTTTATAAGTACATATTCAGAGCATTCCTCTTGTCTACTAGTTAAGCAAGCCTGTCAAAAGAAGAAATTTGGCTAATTTGTCATGGATTATAGAATTTGGAACTGGAAGGAACATTAAACATCATTTAGTCTAACTCTCTCATTTTGCAGCTGCAAAAGCTAAGACCAAGAGAGGTTAAGACAATGATTTGTCACAGCTAATATAGGTAAGTAAGTAGCTGAGCCAGAATTGAAGTAGCTGAGCCAGAACTGAAGTAAAGTCTTCTGACTCCAAATTCAGGGTTTATTTCATTATGCCTTTCTGCATGCTAGTTCCTAGGGATGACATCTTCCTTTTCTAAATTTTCACAAATTTTCCCTTAATAATATCCTAAAATTTTACCAAGGCAATAGCCTGAAGTACCTACCTCCCTTCTTTTAGAAATTCATTCTAGGCTCTTGGCACCTCTTTTATTTTTAATGATTCTTCTTTTTTGTTAGTGATGATGCTTTTTGTTTTTATGCAGAAATTTTTTGATATACACCTGCAACCAGGCTGAACTCTGTCTTGTAAAAAAAAAAAAAAAAGCAAAATAGGTAAGTAAAGCCATTCCAAAATGTGAACATGGCTGAGAAGCATATACTACATTTTATAGTCCCTCACCTTTCTTCTGAGAAGAGGGATGTATATTTCATCATCTGAATAGTCATTGCAGTTAATCAGAACTTGACTGTCTTTTTTCATTCAATCAGTAATCAATTATCAAGTCCTATTATGTGCCAGGAATTGTAGAAGGCACTAGGGATATAAATACAAAAATGAGACAGTCCTGCCCTCAGAGAGCTTATATTCAACTTTAAGTGTTATTTTCATTTACATTATTGAAATCATTATGCATATTTTGGTCCTGATAACTATTCTGCACTAGTTCATATCTTCCTATATTTCTCCAAATTTCTTGTAATAATCATTTCTTATAGTACAAAAACATTCCCTCGCATCCATATGAGTAATTTGTTTAATCGTTCCATAATCCATGAATACCCACTGTGTTTCCAATTTTTTACTACTACCAAAAGTGCTACTCAGAGTATTTTGGTAGATGTGGGGCACTTATTTTTGTCTTTGACTTTCTTGGATCTCTGGATCAAAAGATATAAACAATTTGATGACTTTTCTTACACAATTCCAAATTGTTTTCCAGAAAGGCTAGAAAATCCATAGTTCAGCCAAAGATACTGACTTCCCACAGACTCTCTAACATTGAGATTTCTGTATTCTATAATTTTTTACATTTGTGAGATGAAATCTCAGAATTGTTTAATTTCCATTTCTCTTATAATTTAATTATTTGGAATAATTTTCATGTAGTTGCAAGTAGTATATAATTTTTATTTTAAATTAAATTTTATATTTTTAATTAATAGAAATCTTTTTTTTCTCTCCTCATATCCCTACCCCATGGGTTAGATGGTGGTGGTAGTAGAAACAAATTCCTTGTAACAAATACACATAACAAAAACAGTCTCATTCTCTATCCTGAATCTATCATCTCACTATCAGGACGTTCATCATTGGTCCTCTGGAATCATGGATTGTCATCCCATAGGTTAGCATTATTACTGATTTCAAAGAATTGGTCCAAACATTCTGGAAAGCAATTTGGAATTATACCCCAAAAGTTTCTGAATAATTTATACTCTTTGACTTAGTTA